AAAAAAAATCAATATTACAAGACCTAGTCTTTCAAAAAATGAGGCTCAAACACACCCTTAGATACAATTGAGTTTCAAGTCGTTAAACTCAAGTCTGACCAATCAGTATTTCCTACAATGAAATAGAGCATATTACCTAATAATATATTTAGCCCTGTTACCCAGACAACAAGCATAACATGTTATATTGATCTTACATTGGATTAGTTGTGGATGGATATCTGTGTCCTTCGTATCAGGAAAATTTACGTTACTTGACAATACCAAACATTAAATGTTATGACATTATAGGCTGAAATAAAACAGTTGTGGTAAGATGAAACTGAGATATACCCAATTTTAGCTTAATTTTGGAATACCACAAGCAACATATCACAAAATGGTGCCAACAATGTGCCTACCAAATCACATAAAATAATCAGTCTAGCCAAATCAACAACACTCATCACATGCAGAAAGGGGCTGAAGTTTCAGCAATAGCATAGTGGCCATAGCACACCAAAGAAGGGATTTATGCATTGTAACCAACTTATAAAGCATAAGATAGATCAAATACAAGAAGAAAAAGGATCATATATGGTACCAGTAGCATCTTCAGCAGTGCATGGGTCCCAATGTGGGCGAGAGCACTTTTGATTCGTTCATTCCCCTCGATATCATCAACATAGCGGGAAACACTTTCCCCATCCTCAAATGTTTCCACCAAAACAGCAGGATGGACCAGTGGATATACAGGCCTGGGGAAAGAAACGTCTTTCCATCTGCGAAAATTGTATATGAAGCGGCTCAAGTGGGCAGCTTCTCGGGCAAGATCAATTTGAGACATCATGAAAACTGCAAACTGCTGGACACTTTCATCCAATCTCAACCAATTCAGAGCAGGAATGTATCTAGAAATTTTTGCCATTATATTAATTATCTCAAAATCTCTTTTTATTGACTCTCCAACTCCTGGGTGTCTCACCTTCACTGCAACTAGCATTGGTTTCATCTCACGACCACGGTACCGAGACCGCAGAGAAGCTCGATGCACTTGGGCTATACTTCCAGATGCCACAGGTTTTTCCTCAAAGTCATCAAAAATTTCAGAAATCTTACGACGGAAAGCTCTTTCAATTGTCTTTTTCGTGTAGGCAAAGCTATGTTCAGGTGCTTTCGTGTGAAGCTTGGAAAGTTCAGTGCACAGGTCTCTAGGAAAGAGATCTGGCCGTGTGGCTGCCCACTGGCCCCATTTTATGAACGCAGGACCTGCCCTTTCTAGTGTTTGATGAACAACCTGAAGCCATAATTTCCTGAACCGAGGTCCAAAACTATCTGCAAATGGAGCCATCACAATGCTTGGCGTGAACAGAAATGACAAAAACAACACTCTCAGCAACAAGAAAAAGCCTTCGAATATTGATAGGATCAATGAGGTCAAGAAAAGATGCCCATCCTGTGCATGCGTGTATAAAGTATTCCTTGGCAGAAAGATATCTGTGTCCGGCACAGACTGTGCCCATGCTAATTGGTTTCCACGTGTTACCGCAAATATACCAGGAACAAGCAAATAAGAATGGCTCAACGCCAAGCTAACTGCCTGAGCGATCTTGTTTATGGGAAGACAAGATTGGCCACGATGTAAAGACTTCTGTGCCAACCTCTTCCAAGCAACTTGAGCACGATGGGCTATAGTATTATTGGCTGGGATAGCTGAATAATTCCTGACAAACCCATTGCAGAGACATTTTCTCATTTCACGTGTAGGATTCCAAGTATGTCTCCTACCACTACCAGGGAACATAGATTGCAAGTATATTCTGTATTGAGGAGAACATAACCCAGGTCTGACAAGGGCTCCATATTTTAACCCTTCTGAACAGTTACGATACTGTTTTGCGAGCAAAGATTGTGAAACTCTCTTAATATTCCCAAATGTCAAGAATCTGCAACCCCATAAGCCGTCCAATGATAAACGCCTAATAAAATTTTATTTTCTGAATATTTTAAAGAAAAACATATATGGTTCTAACCTCATTTTCATTTTAATAGTATTAATATACATTAAATACTATTTAAAAATGATAAAGAAAGTTCATGTTTCAATCATTAGCAGTTACATTTAGTTATCAGATGAAGTTCAAGCTATCGAAAAAAGTATAAGTTCCCTATCTTAACATAACCATATTGTCATTCATGCTTTCCAGATAATAAATTAGATTGAAATCTTCTCCATGTCAGGTCCAAAGAACCATGCAAGCAGCACCAAAAGCTGTTCCTTCAAAAATCATGTTAATGGAATAGAGTATATAAGACAATGGAGTATCAGGTAAGTCAAAACCATGATACAACAATCAAACATTCTCATTAATTATTAAAGTTATTAGTAATTGGACTTGAAGTTTCTGCCCTTGAAACTACAACCCCAGGCGGCCAAGAGTTGACGTCGAACTGCCAAACCTTTCTGCCAATGAGACTTTAGATCCTACTGTTATCATGTAATTTTTTATCTGTTGAGCTGACCCATCCTCTCACCACCACTGGAATTTGGATCACTATCTAGAAGCACTACATGATGCCCATCAAAGAAAGTCTAGTAAAACACCAGAGTTCTTGCCAATATAGAAAGAGCAAGAGCACAGAGTAACCCAAATAGATTAATTATACGATATACCTCCCAAGAAAAAGATCATGCTCAATATACAACAACTTCACAGTATAGCAAAATAAATCCTACTGAATGTTCAAATTATTACGAAAAGGGTGAACAAAGAAATCAAGAAAAAGAAATCTTAACAGACCTTGACATGGCGAAAATTGGGTCCGACAAAAATGGGAGACTAACTTGCAGATTGGGCGTGCTGTATCACCGACGAGCATTTTCTACGGATACCGTCAAAGTAAAGAAGATTGAACCATACAGATAATAAAATTCACAATTCAAATTCTGCCCACAACTTACGCAGCTTCTCCAATAACAAATAAAAACACGAAGAATTATTTCATCAATTTATGAAATTTGGGGCTATTCTGTGGAATTTTTCGGACAAAACATAGAG